GGTTCTCTCTTAGAATTTACAATGACTAAAACCAACTTCATTTTCAACAACGAACATTTCCTTTAAATAAATGGTTTATTTCGCCCGTTTATGCCAATATATTCATGACCCATATGTCGATGACACTTTTGCTGGCTTCACTTCTACAGAACACACACAAACTTTCTTTAAACACAAATTCCATTCATCCCAACATCAAATTTACAATAGAACACGAAAACAATAAACAGTTATCCTTTCTTAACCTCCAAATTATTAGATCACACACATAGTTTAAAACCAAAATTCACCACAAAAACACACACACTGGTCTCTACATCCCCTGGAATTCTGCACATGACACTACACAATAAATCAATAAACTTAAAAACCTCATAAACACAGCCACAAGACTCTGTTCAACGGACTACATAAATGAAGAAATTAACCACATAAAGTATTTCTTTATTCACACCAATAAATTCCTACCAACTATTGTTGAAAAACTTTCCAACATTCCGCGCAACAAAACTCAACTCACGAACAAAATTGATACTAACAAACCCAACAACAGTACATTACACTGCATTTTACCCTTTGTTCCTGAAACCAGCTCAAGAATTATCCACACTTGGACAAAACTAGCCATTAAACACAATATTCCTGTCAACGTCAAATTCTCACAAAAACCCGGCCCCAAATTAATATCATTATTAAACAAAAATTATTCACAATACCAACATCATTTACAAAATAACATGCAATAACTGCCCAGAATTCTACATCGGAGAAACTGGAAGAAAATTGGAAACCAGACTTCTTTGTTCAATACTGTATATATATATATATATATATATCCGTGTCAGTGTAAATTACTTGTACCTGGACAAGGTTTTGTCATCATAAAATGTTGTACATATGCTGTTGTGTTAAACTTATATTAAAGTTTTTCTTCATTACCCATTCAAGCCGTCTCCAACCATTATATATCATATTTTCATTCATTTTCTAAACAAGAGAGAATTCTCAATGGATGTGGCACTTGAAATCTTTTAGGCAGGATTAGTGTAAATTAATCTAAGAGACCTTCATCACAGTCAAATACATCAATTGAAAGTTAATTTAATAAACCTACATTTTGTCTTGCTTGTCACTAGTTTCACGCAATGTATCAAGTTACCAGGTAAAGCAATTTTGTTAGCATCGTTTCAGCGAGACGTTTAAGTTGTGCTAAAGGTACAATTATTAACTGTTTTTCATTAATTATTAAATACATAATGTAAGTTACTAACTTTGACTGTGGAATCCAATGCTGTGCAATTTTGTTTTTATTTTCAATATTTAAAAATCAATAAAAGACCCTACTTTAATATTCAATTGATAAATTCATACAACTTACACTTTACAGTTACAATTAATAAAACTGCTTAAAATGAGGATCAGTAATTAATATTTATGAAAATAAATGGGGGACTTAAGTTTTCACCCCTCCCACCAACTGAAACAACCTTGAAGTTGAACTTTGAAATTGAAGGACTACATCATATGTTCTCTTGTTGTCTACATTATATATTTCATAACACTAATAGTAACGATCAATAATATTATACATACAAGCTCAACCAAGTTAGAGTTAGGTCTACCAATAGATACCAGCACTACCAATCTAAAACACAGTTAAGTTCTCACTGCTAAGCCTAACGGCAACTTAACCCTAACTTGAGTAACCGTTAACAGCTAAACAATAGATGAACACCTTAAGGCTTAACACTAAAAACAATGAAAATGTTTAATGTTACCGCTAATAATGTTACAGTAATTAAAGGTGATTTATCGTACAAACAATATACCTGAGGTCAAAGTTATTGTCAGGGCTCGATGTACCATTTCCGTCGAAACCACCAACAGCATCCATGTTATCCATTGCTTTTTTTTTTAATATCACAAACAAAGTAAGAACTAAGAAACGTGAGCACGCGCGTTAAACGATAGCTACTGCAAGTTAAAATTCAAGATAATCTATGATAGAGGTCGTTATTTCTCAAAATTAAAAAAGAAGTTCTATTACAACACACCTAAAATGTTATTCTAAGGCATGTTATAAATATTATTTTTTTGTGTAATTTCAATTAATAAATTGTATTATTTTTATATTTGCTTGCGTATGTATATATATATATATATATAATATTTGTCATAAGATAGTATAATTAGGCCTAATACATTTTTAAACACTATTATCTAGTCCCTTACATATTTTCAAGAATTAGAAAGTGTATAATAATATTCAAACCAAACGATATTTTTCATATCCATTGCTAACGACGCATTTCGCTCAACTCAGAGCTTTTCAGACCGACTGGGGATACCAGAAACTCAGTATTGGTTGGAACACTATATCAACCATCTGATATGTTACGTATCTGCTGGTTTGTTAATTTCCGGTAGAAATTCTTTCCGAGGAACTTCAGCGATACAAGTCCTTTCTTGATTAAACCGGTTTATTCTTTCTCAATACAAACCTTAGTACACAGTAATTCCACAGTCAGTACGTTTCTCATCACTTTAAACTGAACAACTTCGATAATACACACTATAAATAACAGTGATTCACAATCTCGATAACTTCGTTGCCGACGAGTACAAAACACACACTTTTATCAAAACCATAACTTTAACATGCTTCTTTAATTAACCATCCATCCCGTTGGCTTCCTCTGACAGGCTTATATACTAAAGAAGGTGGCTTCACGAACACACTCGGGCCTCCACGATCATTATGATCATTCGATAAATTTATCTGGTGTCACCAAGTTCACGTGACTTCCGCTTTCGTAACACTGCCCCTTCGTTAGTATTATTCGTCCCGAACAATAGCCACTTATATTTAACCAATAGATAATTAACAAGAACTTAATTAAATGTACAGAATTTACGAACTCAAAATAAAAATACAACAAAGTCACTTAATTTTACAGGACGCATCTTCTTCCATACTGGTCTCTGTCTCATTGGCTTCTGCTTCACGTCGGGTTCATCTGCTCCATCAGGAAATGTTCGAATTATTGGTAACAGTCACATCAGTGGTAGTAACTTCTACAATGGCTTCACTGTTTCCATTCTCAAAACCGAGTAGAGTTTCTTCTTCGAAAGTGGCTTTTTCAGGTGACACGTCTTCAGCAGCATCATTTGTTCTGTTGTTCACTTCGTTCCAACTGAAATGACCAGGACTGTGATAACGCCAAAGCCTGTTGACATTTACCACCTTCGGCTTACCTCACCGATCACATTTTATTCGGAAAGTCACGTCTGAGAGACGATCCATTATGTCATATGGGCCTTCCCAATGGAGAAGACAACTTAGGATGATTCCCTTTGGTCTTCCTGGAATTATACAACCACACCTTGTCTCCTGGTACAAAGATGACTTCACTAGATCTCTTATCATAACATAGTTTCATGGAATCAGTAGACTTTTTAAGTTTGAATGCACTTGATGATGAATATGATCCATCCTTTCAGATAATACTTTCACGAACTCTGGCACATATTCAGGCAACTCTTCGTAAGGTGGGCGTCCTGTTATCAGGTCCACTGGCAATCGAAGTTCCCGACCAAATATCAACTTTGCTGGAGTGTATCCAGTGGCTTCATGATCTGCTGTTCTATAGGCCATCAACAGTGGAGGGAGTAAG